TACACTGTCAACGGCGGCTCTGGGTACGTGGCCGAGGTCACCTACCAGGGCGAGGCTCAGTATCCATCCTACAGGCCAGCCCCATCCTACAACCCAGCCCCAGTGTATGGTTAAAACATGACCATTGTGATTTAATTATTATGTAATTTATCAATAAATCTCTACAAAAATTATTTATTTTATTTAAAATGTTTATATAACCCACTAAGAGCCTTTTTTTACCTTTCTTTTTCTGTTTTTAAGAATAATCAGTAGAGGTTATCAGAATATTGCTTATTGTCTTTCTTCCTCTCTCATCTTCTCTCTCTCTTTTGGTTTCTACAAAATATTCGAGTTTATGATTATGTAATACTTGGTAGTCAATAAGGTCAAGATCTGCGACCAAACAACACCACTTGTATTATCACGTCAGACAACTTGTATAATATGTTACCTTGATAACAAAGGTATGATTTCCTTTTCATTTCATCACTTTTTTATTATATATCAGTAATAAGCAGCAGATGCCAGATTTATTCTTCAATAAACTGATTCTCAAAACGACACAGGAGTGTCCAAGGGTTAGTTCTGACTTCTAAGTGCATTGTTAACGATCCAGCTGTGTTGCATAAAACGTAGATGAAGAGACTCCTTCAGGCATTTTGGACAGTCAAGAGAGAAAATGTGGACACTGAACTGACTATCGCACCCAAAGGACAATGTTGATGGAGGTGAATCTATGTCAACTTTTCGATCATTTGTTAACTCATTCCTCAGTGGTTTATATCAACACCTCAGGTAATTTCTTTAAATAGAATGGTACCTTTTGTGATTTAAGAGTATAATTAGGTAATATAACATCTCAGTTCTATTAGTATAACAGTTTTGTTATTTTATCATAATGATAATTAGACGATTTGAACCATGTGGCTTTTAATAGGTAGTTTAAAGTTTCATTATGCATACTGTCCTGTACTTCTCTAAGACTTAAACTGGGAGGAACAAACAGCAAACAACATTGATAGAGATAAATGATGTTGAAATAAACAGCAAAATAATAGTATATCTGCCCTTTTATTTTACAGTTATTTATTTTATCGTAACAACAAGAAAATAGAAGTTATTAGAGTACAATGGTTAAGGTAATATTCTTACACATGTAGTTAAACATGAATAACTAATATGATCATCATCGTCATCATCATCATCATCGTCATCATCATCATCATCTTCACTTCCTAAGTAACAATGTCGCATAGTTTACCAGAAGACTAATGGTAGAGTGGCGTGGTAGTCTGCTACTGTGAGGGCGAGACGGGTTGGTGGGAGGTGTCCACGATCCTGCTGATGTTATTGTTGGTCTTACAGTTTTAAGTTCCTCTATTGTTCTTATTCCCATTAACAGCCTCGGGGAATAATCCCATATGTCCACAATACACAGACAAGTTAAGGAGTTATTATAAGCCATATGTTCTTCTATTACAGTGTGTGACGTTTTAGTGAAATAGATCTGGCAGCTTCTTCTTGTATCAAATTGTTGATTATTATCATTCATTCTGATATCATTCTATTTTATTCTTAACTTTTGTTATTTCGGATACTTGCTTCTTATTGCCCCATAACAAAGCAACTGCTGGACAGTCTTATTCCTCTTCAGCCAGACACAACCTGAATAAAAATGTGTCTTTTTAAGAATAATATTTTCTTTATTATTCAAAATCATTAATTAATTTGTAATTGTCACCGATGATGAGAAAATATTTGCTAATTTTAAAAAAAATAATTTAAGAGCTTCACCCAATTCATAACATCTTTTGTTTCACTGAGCACCTACACAGCCCCTCCCACCTCCCTTATCGTGGTTATCTTTAGAAAATATTTTTAAACCAGTTTTGTCGACCTTGGTGAGGACCCGCCCACAGTCCTCGGTAGGTATATAAGTGGTGAGGCGGCTGGGATGACCACACTCACTAACTGATTCCTTCACCAGCATCATCAACATCATGAAGGTAAAACTCTCACACTCACCCACTCACTCACTCACTCACTCACTCTCCTCGTGTGTATCAAAGCAGCAAGATCTTTACTAACGTTTGATTCTTATAAGTTCATTCATAAACAGATAGTGGCGTTTAGGTCACTCCAACTCCTTAGTTCTGGCACTTTATGCAACACAACGAATACTGGAATAATGACCCAGAGGAACATCATTGCATATTATGATTCGGGACAAACACACCACATGTGTATGAGACTCAAACTCTACAGACTGCGAGTATATATAAACAGAGTAAGTCGTCGTAATTCTCTCCATTATTCAGAAACAAAATAGTATATTCAGATGTTACAGTACAGGGACAGATTTATGCCTAGATTACAGGAATACATGACAATCAATTAGTCAATTCCCATATAACTGTACAGAAACTCTGGACATGAGTGTTAGTTCTAAATGACATTAGGTAAATATTTGCCAGTCATTATATATACACAAGTTTGTTTAGCATCACTTAGTAATGACAGTTGATATTTGCAGCCTCACCACAGGGTCACTGATAAAATAATATGAATAATTGTCACACATGTGTCATCACACAGGTGGTTCTCGCTCTGACTCTGGTGGCCGCCGCTATGGCTGCCCCGTCCAGACGTGGCTACGGCTTCTCCCCCGCCCCCGTCCCTGCCCCTGCCCCGTCCTACAGACCAGCCCCGTCCTATAGGCCAACTTATGTAATAAATATAGTTTTTTACGTGGATAACGTGCTTAAGAATATCACTTGTTTATATTTGAAAGTTCAGATAAGAATGTATTAAGTGTTTTCGAGGATAATTTATTACCAGTGCTTTTGTTTCATTTCTACTGTACTTAAACAAGTTATGAAGAAGACTTATTACACTTTCCTATTCCCAGGGTCCTGCTCAGTACAGCTTCGACTGGGCGGTGAATGACGCTCCCTCCGGTAACGACTTCGGCCACGAGGAGACTCGTAACGGTGACAACACCCAGGGGTCGTACTACGTGCAGCTTCCCGACGGTCGTCTGCAGCGGGTGACCTACACTGTCAACGGCGGCTCTGGGTACGTGGCCGAGGTCACCTACCAGGGCGAGGCTCAGTATCCATCCTACAGGCCAGCCCCATCCTACAACCCAGCCCCAGTGTATGGTTAAAACATGACCATTGTGATTTAATTATTATGTAATTTATCAATAAATCTCTACAAAAATTATTTATTTTATTTAAAATGTTTATATAACCCACTAAGAGGCTTTTTTTACCTTTCTTTTTCTGTTTTTAAGAGTAATCAGTAGAGGTTATCAGAATATTGCTTATTGTCTTTCTTCCTCTCTCATCTTCTCTCTCTCGTTTGGTTTCTACAAAATATTCGAGTTTATGATTATGTAATACTTGGTAGTCAATAAGGTCAAGATCTGCGACCAAACAACACCACTTGTATTATCACGTCAGACAACTTGTATAATATGTTACCTTGGTAACAAAGGTATGATTTCCTTTTCATTTCATCACTTTTTTATTATATATCAGTAATAAGCAGCAGATGCCAGATTTATTCTTCAATAAACTGATTCTCAAAACGACACAGGAGTGTCCAAGGGTTAGTTCTGACTTCTAAGTGCATTGTTAACGATCCAGTTGTGTTGCATAAAACGTAGATGAAGAGACTCCTTCAGTCATTTTGGACAGTCAAGAGAGAAAATGTGGACACTGAGCTGACTATCGCACCCAAAGGACAATGTTGATGGAGGTGAATCTATGTCAACTTTTCGATCATTTGTTAACTCATTCCTCAGTGGTTTATATCAACACCTCAGGTAATTTCTTTAAATAGAATGGTACCTTTTGTGATTTAAGAGTATAATTAGGTAATATAACATCTCAGTTCTATTAGTATAACAGTTTTGTTATTTTATTATAATGATAATTAGACGATTTGAACCATGTGGCTTTTAATAGATAGTTTAAAGTTTCATTATGCATACTGTCCTGTACTTCTCTAAGACTTAAACTGGGAGGAACAAACAGCAAACAACATTGATAGAAATAAATGATGTTGAAATAAACGGCAAAATAATAGTATCTCTACCCTTTTATTTTACAGTTATTTATTTTGTCGTAACAACAAGAAAATAGAAGTTATTAGAGTACAATGGTTAAGGTAATATTCTTACACATGTAGTTAAACATGAATAACTAATATGATCATCATCGTCATCATCATCATCATCGTCATCATCATCATCATCGTCATCATCATCATCATCTTCACTTCCTAAGTAACAATGTCGCATAGTTTACCAGAAGACTAATGGTAGAGTGGCGTGGTAGTCTGCTACTGTGAGGGCGAGACGGGTTGGTGGGAGGTGTCCACGATCCTGCTGATGTTATTGTTGGTCCTACAGTTTTAAGTTCCTCTATTGTTCTTATTCCCATTAACAGCCTCGGGGAATAATCCCATATGTCCCCAATACACAGACAAGTTAAGGAGTTATTATAAGCCATATGTTCTTCTATTACAGTGTGTGACGTTTTAGTGAAATAGATCTGGCAGCTTCTTCTTGTATCAAATTGTTGATTATTATCATTCATTCTGATATCATTCTATTTTATTCTTAACTTTTGTTATTTCGGATACTTGCTTCTTATTGCCCCATAACAAAGCAACTGCTGGACAGTCTTATTCCTCTTCAGCCAGACACAACCTGAATAAAAATGTGCCTTTTTAAGAATAATATTTTCTTTATTATTCAAAATCTTTAATTAATTTGTAATTGTCACCGATGACGAGAAATTATTTGGTAATTTTAACTAAAATAATTTAAGAGCTTCACCCAATTCATAACATCTTTTGTCTCACTGAGCACCTACACAGCCCCTCCCACCTCCCTTATCGTGATTATCTTTAGAAAATATTTTTAAACCAGTTTTGTCGACCTTGGTGAGGACCCGCCCACAGTCCTCGGTAGGTATATAAGTGGTGAGGCGTCTGGGATGACCACACTCACTAACTGATTCCTTCACCAGCATCATCAACATCATGAAGGTAAAACTCTCACACTCACCCACTCACTCACTCACTCACTCACTCCCCTCGTGTGTATCAAAGCAGCAAGATCTTTACTAACGTTTGATTCTTATAAGTTCATTCATAAATAGATAGTGGCGTTTAGGTCACTCCAACTCCTTAGTTCTGGCACATTATGCAACACAACGAATACTGGAATAATGACCCAGAAACAAAATAGTTTATTCAGATGGTACAGTACAGGGACAGATTTATGCCTAGATTACAGGAATACATGACAATCAATTAGTCAATTCCCATATAACTGTACAGAAACTCTGGACATGAGTGTTAGTTCTAAATGACATTAGGTAAATATTTGCCAGTCATTATATATACACAAGTTTGTTTAGCATCACTTAGTAATGACAGCTGATATTTTCAGCCTCACCACAGGGTCACTGATAAAATAATATGAATAATTGTCACACATTTGTCATCACACAGGTGGTTCTCGCCCTGACTCTGGTGGCCGCCGCTATGGCTGCGCCGTCCAGACGTGGCTACGGCTTCTCCCCCGCCCCCGTCCCTGCCCCTGCCCCGTCCTACAGACCAGCCCCGTCCTATAGGCCAACTTATGTAATAAATATAGTTTTTTACGTGGATAACGTGCTTAAGAATATCACTTGTTAATATTTGAAAGTTCAGATAAGAATGTATTAAGTGTTTTCCAGGATAATTTATTACTAGTGTTTTTGTTTCATTTCTACTGTACTTAAACAAGTTATGAAGAAGACTTATTACACTTTCCTGTTCCCAGGGTCCTGCTCAGTACAGCTTCGACTGGGCGGTGAATGACGCTCCCTCCGGTAACGACTTCGGCCACGAGGAGACTCGTAACGGTGACAACACCCAGGGGTCGTACTACGTGCAGCTTCCCGACGGTCGTCTGCAGCGGGTGACCTACACTGTCAACGGCGGCTCTGGGTACGTGGCCGAGGTCACCTACCAGGGCGAGGCTCAATTCCCTACCTACAGTGCAGGGCCATCCTATAGGCCAACCCCAGCGTATGGTTAAAACACATTTAACCATATAATTAATAAATCCCCCTACATATGTATTTATATATAGAGAAAGAAATAATATATCACTTTTGATGTGGAAATGTTGCAATATCTATGTATAGAAAGCTTTTACTTGCAATGTTAATTTTATTTTTATTTTGTTGCTTTGATTTCATAGAGAAGTAATAAATGTTATTAGACTTCTTAAAATTTATGCTTTTCCTTCTCTGTTAATCTCTGTCTGTCGTTGGGGGCTTTCTCGAAGACTGTCTGTTTAATAAGCATATAATAATAATTTTAGAGAGGCATTTTATTAAAGACACGTAAATCTGTTAGGCCAAATACTAGGTGACACTATAAAGTAAATTACTTCAAGACAAGATCTAACAACCAAAACACAAGCTGTATTATATTGTCAACTTATCTATAAATTACATTACCTTGATAACAGATGTAATGTTGGCTCTTTATCATATCGACTTTGTGTGAATTAGTAATATGAAACAGTTTTGAAATTTAATCTTCACTTGAATAAACTGTTGAAAATGAATTTGAAATTGTTGAACAAAATGGTTAAGGAGTGTGATATTTTCTTGTAAATTTTAAATCATTGTTGTATTTGCCCTAAGAACAATGGCCACTGTTGTCAAGTCTAAGACCAACAATAACATCAGCAGGTTTGTGCATACCTCCCCCATCCTGTCTCGTCCTCACAGTAGCAGCTACCAAACAGGGAGGAACTACCGACTGGGAAGATAATGGAAGCATAATGTGTTGTCTAATGGTAGACCCTGCTGCCATATGGCATCACGAAAATTGTGACCAAGTCCCACGTTGTTGATCTGTCTTTCTGCCACATTTACACACAATTGCAGGTCTCAATTGTTTCTCTTACTTGACAACACAACATACATAAAGCGTTTCTCACTATTGATTTTTTTTCGTTTTTGTATTTCTTTATAGTTCTTTATTATTATTATTATTATTATTACTATTATTATTATTATTATTATTATTGTTATTATTATTATTATTATTATTATTATTATTATTATTACTATTATTATTATTATTATTATTATTATTATTATTATTATTATTATTATTATTATTATTATTATTATTATTATTACAGAGTTATTATTATTATTGCTATCATTATTATTTTATTTTACTTTTTATTATAAATTTTATTTACTATGAATGATTATTACATTTTCGCCCCCCAGGCCCCGATGTGGGTCAGTGACCTGTGCCCGGGAGGGCTAATACCCATAAAAAAAAAAGACTACCACACCCCTCTGCCGTTAGCGTCCGTGTAAATTATACAACACTGTTACTGTGTTTCTGGCAACATGAGATAAATATGACTGTGAATGGAGTCTAGGCAAGAATAACCCTTCCAACAGGTTGTATAGGATCTGGTGTAGGCTGGCTGATGGAAGGTCAGCTGATGGAGGTCATCTTGGACGGGGAAAAACACACATCATAAGACTGAAGATGTCTAGACGATGACTTAGGACGTGATGATGATGATGATGATGATGATGATGATGATGATGATGATGATAGTAATAATAGTATTAACAATCAACATGAGACTAACTCCCACACAGTATTGTATTACCATAAACATTCTCTGATAATTTTGATTTTCCTTGATGACATGACAACTTGGTTTGAATGTAAAATTCAAAAACAGGTAGTTTAGTTGAATAAAGTAAACCGTCGTACTTGCTGGATATTATATATACAACTTAACAAAATCAAACAAAATCAATCCAATTCCAAGATTTATTACTAAGGTGAAATAATTCATAAATAAACTGACATGATGATACAGTTGGTAGGGTATTGGCTTGTGGTAATTCACAGTGTAACATAACTTGCATAATCACTTGATCAATTTTCTTGATATGATTAAATAAGCTATGTCTTAGTGCTTCTGAAGTGACAACTGCTGTATAGCTCAAGACGTTACACGAATGTTTTGATCAATGTTACGTGTGAAGGAATCAGAGTATAGATAGTCTTGGAGTAAATAGAAAGAGTTACCGAACTTTAGAGAAAAAGAAGTGATGAAAACATTGATTACTTTAAGTACTGTTATGGGATAAAACCTTTCAAGAAATTTGATAAACAAAAATATTTATATTAAAATGGACAAATTCATTAATATGTACATCAAATTTAATTTATGGTTTATTGATAATTTACGTAATCGGTCATACAATGGAGATAAGTATATTTCAACCATACACTGGGGTAGGCCTATAGGCTGAGCCTGCACCATAGGTAGGGAACTGAGCCTCGCCCTGGTAGGTGACTTCGGCCACGTACCCAGAGCCGCCGTTGACAGTGTAGGTCACCCGCTGCAGACGACCATCAGGAAGCTGCACGTAGTACGACCCCTGGGTGTTGTCACCGTTACGAGTTTCCTCGTGGCCGAAGTCGTTACCGGAGGGAGCGTCATTCACCGCCCAGTCGAAGCTGTACTGAGCAGGACCCTGGTAGGAGGAAAGTACAGTGAGAAACAAAACCTCTCGTATTAGACGTAAGAAGAATGAATATTTGTCACTATAATATCGATACACAACAGTATTCATTACTCACATAGGACGGGGTTGGCCTGTAGGACGGGGCGGGACTGAAGGAAGGGCCAGGGTTGAAGGAAGGGCCGGGGTTGAAGGAAGGGCCGGGGTTGAAGGAAGGGCCGGGGTTGAAGGAAGGGCTGGGATTGAAGCCATAACGGGGACCGGACGGGGCAGCCACAGCGGCGACCACCAGAGTCAGGGCAAGAACCACCTGTGTGATGACAAAAATGTAACAATTAATCCTCTTACTTTAGCAAGGATCCTGTGGTCATGACCCAGAGATTTAATTTAATTTATGTTGATACTTTATATTCTTAACAGATCACTTACATACCAAGTGACCTGCTTCGTAATTTACCTATGTTGTTAGAAACTAAAACACGCACACAAAGTTTTTTGTTTTCGAGTTACTTAAAGAAAAGTTATGAATAAAGTCATGGGAAGCTAATATTTGCAAAAATTTCAATTTTAATCATAAGGAGAGTGAGTGATTGAATAAGTGAAGGAGAAGTTAAGGGAGTGAGAAATAGAGAGAGTGTGAGAGTTTTAGGAGAGTGACTGAGAGAGTTAATGAGTGAGAATTTTACCTTCATGATGTTCATGATGCTGGTGAAGAAGTCAGTGAGTGAGTGTGATCATCCCAGAAGCTTCACCACTTATATACCTACCGAGGACTGTGGGCGGGTCCTCACCAAGGTCGACAAAACTGGTTTAAAAACATAATCAAAAGAGTGTCACGGTGAGGGACACGGGAGAGACTGTGTAGGTGTTCAATAAGACGTGTTATCAATAGGGTCAACTTTGCGCAAGACCAACACAAATTATACAGATTTTTCAGCTTAAAATAGGAAATTATTCATATTAATTTACGATTGCGAATATAAGAGAAAAAATAGGGTGTTTTAAGATTCATATATATGGAGGTCGTGTCTGGCTTTACTATAAAACGATAATGGTTACTACTGACTCTGATTCAGCCTCAAGAAGACAAGAACATCATACTTCCTTAACTCACCATCATCGGCTTCCTGTACAGGAAAGTTATTATCAAAATTTATTGCTCTCATTATTATTAGTAGAGGTAGGTGTCGTAGTAGTGGTAGTGGTAGTGGTAATGGAAGGTGTAGTGGTAGTGGTAGTGGTATTGGAAGGTGTAGTGGTAGTGGTAGTGGTAGTAGTAGTGGTAGTACTTCCCGAATCTCCTACCACGCCCACACAACCCAAGCCCACATGGTCCAGGTATCCGTTTGGTCTTGTGTTTATAGGGGCCTCTCAACCTAAATTAACACTATCCATAACTTACCAAACGTCACTAGTACACCTCATGGATGAACGGTGCTAGTTATAAAGGATAGCATCGTCTCATCCACCCACTCTACTGGTGACCAATGGTACGGTAAAGATGTCTAGAGTAGTTTGTTAAATGTTTGGTGATTGGCTTAGGACAATGACTAGGCTGCCATCAGGTGCGGATGTCAACTCCAGCGAGTAAGTGTTAATCCTTTGATGGCCCTGTACAAGTTAGAAGGCGGCCCCGGGTATTATAAGTTAGTTGGATATTATTTTAGTCGTCGGTTCGATTAAAGTTTAATGTTAAATAAACCAGAGTTAATGGTATAGAAACTTTTACTGACACCCTGCCACTTTGAACACAATTACAGAGTTGTGGTGTTAATTGGCAAACACAAAGAGACAAAAGGAAATCATGTTTTAGTCCTTTATTACATACAGTAGCAGACTACCACGCCGCTCTACCACTAGTGTCCGTGTAAACTATATAACATTGTTACTTTGTTTCTGGCAACAACTCAACATGAGATAAAGATGACTGTGAATCGAGTCTAGGCAGGAATAACCTGTCCAACAGCTTGTATAGGTTCGTGCCTGTGTAGGCTGGGTGAGGGAAGATCAGCTGATGGAGGTCATCTTGGACGGGGAAAAACACATATCATGTAAGACTGAAGATGTCTAGACGATGACTTTGGGTCTTCATATTATATAACACACGAGTGGAAACTTTGTTAGTTACAATGAAAAATGTTGGTCCAGCCTTTGTTCTTCCGCGAAGGTTAACTTTCAGAGTAATAAAAGGTCATAATTTGGGGTAATTAAATTGACGAAATATAATATCTCTTATGAAAGTTGTTCAAATAGGTTATGCATGAAAATAATGAAATAGTTGTTAATAGTTATTCTCTCCAAGTAGAATCTCATATCAAATAACAGAAGAAGTCAATGACTGATACAAGCTTGTGAAAAATGGATTATGAACTACCTGAAAACTAGCACAGTTCCGTTTCCATCATCCTTGCCGTTTTGGTTGCGTTAGTCAACTCATTGTCCGCCTTCTATCGCTTGACTGACCGTATTTTTTAATGCATGAAGGAGTCATCTCAAGTAAAACTCATATATATATATTACACAGGAAGACCATAACAACGTAATAGGAAGTCATGACTGATACTTTGACATTTAACTTGAATGAGAATCATCCTAGGAATTATAAATGTCACAAAAGTGATAACATTATAAGAAAATCTTCCATTTTTTACCAATATTTTATAATGTAAAGTTCTGTTGATCGGTGACCCAGCTGGCGGTCATGTGAGA